ATGAAGTAGCAGTTTGACCCCCGAGGGGCTGGTGACTGAGTAGCTAAGGTCAACTACGCAGGTGCACACACACACAAACACACACACACACACACACACCAGTTAAAATCCTGGACACAAGTTGGGGCACCTGGCTGGCCTATGGGCAGGGTACACGAGTCTTGAGTCTTGATCTTGTGAGTTCAAGCCTCATGTTAGCTGTAGAGATTATTTAAAAATAACATCTTTAGAGGGGTGCCCGGGTGGCTCAGTCAGTTGAGCGTCCGACTTCGGCTCAGGTCATGATCTCACGCAGCGTGGGTTCAAGCCCCATGTTGGGCTCTGTGCTGACAGCTCAGAGCCTGGAGCCTGCTTCGGCTTCTGTGTCTCCCTCTCCCTCTGCCCCTCCCCTGCTCACACTGTCTCTCTCTCAAAGATAAATAAACATTAAGAGAATAATCTTTAGGGCCGCCTGGGTGGCTCAGTCAGTTAAATATCCGACTCTTGGTTTTGGCTCAGGTCATGATATCACAGTTGTGACATTGAGCCCAGAATGAGCCTCTGCGCTGACAGCACAGTGCCTGCTTGGGATTCTCTCTCTTGCTCTCAAAATAAATAAATGAACTTAAAAATTACTGAATCAATTAATTAAATCTTAAAAAAAAAAAAAAAAAAAAAACCTTGGACACCAGGGCTCCGGTGAACCTCCCTGATGGGCAATACTCCAGACTTGCTGTCGCACGTCGCTGGTGGGAAACCCAAGTGTCGGCCGCCAAGACCCCTCGGAGGGACACCAGGAAGCGCGCCTGGCCTCCCCTGGCCCCCCCAAACCCCACCCCCCCGGTCCCATTGCCTTTTTCTTTTCACTGATTTTGTTCGCCCTCCTTCCGTTGTTATAAGCCATTACTGAGAGCAGAACGGCTTTTCTGAGCTCTGTGAGTCCCGCACAGGAGAGTCCTGACCTGGTCACGGTCTCGGGGACCCCGACGCAGCCAGGATCCCTGGAGGGGGAAGGAGGGGGACACGGAGACTGTGGCTTCCTGACGTCCCTCTCTCCCAGGGCTCTGCTTCTCTCTCTGGCTGTCTCCGTGGCTGCCCCTCCCCCCCGTTCTAGTTCCCCTTCCTGATCTCAAGGCTGGGCTGACCCTTTGGGGGGCTTGTTTAGTACCATCTAAGGGCTCCCAGGGGTGCTTCTCAGCCCAGCCCCCTCCCCTGACCCCCAGAGCCCACATGCAGGTCCATCGCTCTACAGTGCTGGCTAATAAGCATCTAAGATTCCTAAGTGCGAGACTGAGCTCTCGTCTGGGCCACAGATCTGCCTCCCGCCCCCGCCCTGTCTTCCGCCGGCTCCGTAAAGGGCAGCTCCATTCTTCTAGAGGAGCTGGAGGCCCCCCCCCCCGACTTCTTCCTTCCCCCTCGTCGCCCGCCCGCACAGCCCAATGCCAATGCCTTCTAGCCATTACCAGCGTCGAGCCCACTTTGCCCCACGTCCACCGCTATTACTCTTGCTGGGGTGGCCATTACCCCTCAGCTGGACAAACATAATAGGCTCTGAATAGATCTCCCTGCCTCTGACAGTCTGTTCCAGAAGCAGCCTGTTAATGCCTAAATCAGCACACGTCCCTCCTCTGCTCGGCAGCCCTCCTGCGGTTCCCAGCTAACTTAAAAGTCAAGGCAGAGTCCTCCCCACTGGCCACAAGGCCAGGCACAGTTTGCACCCCCCCACCCCCCATGCCTCTGTGCCTTCCTCTCCCGCCCTCTCTCCCTTGCTCACTCCCCTCCAGACACAGCAGTCCCCTAGGGTTCTTCCAACAGCCATACCCCAGGGCCTTTGCATTTGCTTTTTCCCCTCGGCTTGGAATGTGCCCACCTCACCCCCTCCCCCGCCTCTAGACACCCATCAGGCTCTCTCCCGGTCTTCACTGAGGTCTTCACTCACCTGTCACCTCTTCAGAGAAGTCTTCCCTGACCACCCTGTTGAAAACACGCCTTCGCGCCACCCTTCCCCCTCCCCTCCCGCTCCTCTGCTGCGTTGTCCTTCACCGTAATTGCCACTCTGGGCATCGCATTCTATATTAATTTCCTTAACATCTCCCCCAAGCAGACTGTGGGCCCCAGGAGGGTCCCGCTGCATCCCCCCACCCCCCACCCCCCGCCTCAGAGCCGTGCCAAGGGCTCTCGGAGGATCAGTCCTGAATGAATGGGTGATGGGTAAGGGCTCAAGCACGCCGAGGGGCCAGGAGCCGCGGAGCCGCGTCCTCACCTGCAGCCGCGCCAGGATGTGGTGATAATGGAACAAGGTGCAGAAGTCCACGTGCGCCACGAACTCCTCCAAAGCCGCCTTGTCCGCGGGGCCGGCATGGAATTCCTGTAACCTCAGGAAGCAAAACTCCCCTGTAGGCCTCTTTCCCCTGACTGTCGGGGAGGCCTTCTTTCTCTGGCAGCTCTGGGGTTTCTAAAAGTTTGTTGTGGGGGCGCCTGGGTGCCTCAGTCGGTTAAGGGTAGGACTTCGGCTCAGGTCATGGTCTCGTGGTTCATGAGTTCGAGCCCCGCAGTCGGGTTCTGTGCTGACAGCTCAGAGCCTGGAGCCCGGCTTCGGATTCTGTATCTCCTCTCTCTCTCTCCCCGTCCCCCGCTCATACTGTGTCTTTCTCAAAAATAAATAAACATTAATTTTTTTTTAAAATTTTAAATTTAGCTTTGTTTGGGGATGGGGGAGGCCAGTTGTGCTGACCAAGAAACTGTGACAGCCCTGTAGAGTGGAAACCAGACAGCTGATGGGGCGCCTGGTTGGCTCAGTCGGTTGAGCAACCCCGACTCTTGATCTTGGCTCAGGTCCTGATCTCAAGCTTTTGTGAGATCGATCCTCATGTCGGACTTTTGTGTTGACAGCAGGGAGCCTGCTTGGGATTCTTTCTCCCTCTCTCTCTGCCCTTCTCCCACCCCGTCTCTCTCTATAAACATTTTTTTGGGGAAAAAGCAACAGCTGAAAAAGCCAGAGGGGCAAGTTCGGACTTTGACACTCGCCAACATTCACACAATGCTTATTGTGTACCACCCGCTGTTCACTGGCATATCATCCCCCACAGAGATGGATGGAATTCTAACCCATTTTTCAGAAGTGGAAACTGAGGCTCAGGGGCAAGTCACTTGAGTCTCAAAAAGAGAAGCTGAAACTCCGAGCCAGGCCTGTGTGACTCCTGAACACACATATTTAACTCCTTCTTCCTACCTCGGAGCCGTAGGGGAATGTCTTTACCTCTCTGAGCCTGTTCCCTTAATCACCGGCAGAGGATCACACCCTCTTGGGCAGAGAGCAATGGTGAGAATCTGACGCCCTTGTGTGTCCATACACCGACATGTGTGTCTATGTATGTCTGTACTTATGTGTGTGCTTGTGGGTCGAGTCTAGAACATGTCTTAGTATTCACAGAGGTGTTCAAGCAATAATTTTTAAGTGAATGAATGATAATCCTCACTAATGACACGTAGGATGCTGATAGTGGGGCACGAGCTTAGCTCTGGAGCCGGACCAGGACTCCCAGTGGAGCAAGTGCCTAACGCCTCACCACAGACCATGCTCTGGAGTCATGACCATGTCGGTGCAAACCTGGGCCACAACGACATAGCCTTGAGTAAGGCACTTTCCTTCCCCTGTTTTATTTACCTCATCTGTAAAATGGGGATGGTGGAAGTATCTCTCTTACTGGGTTGTTGTGATGATCCAACAATGTATGGGAAAAGCTTAGCACAGGAAGAGCTCTTCTACAGGAAGAGCTCAAGCAGTGTGATAACTATGATTAAAGCTTTGTAAGTATGGTTAATTATTATTAGGTAGCAGTATTTTGCAGAGGGAAAAACCCATGCCCCAGAGAAGGCTTGTTCAAGCCCCCAGAACAAGCTTGAGTCTAGAATCTCAACTACATCTGCATCTCACAGGGCACCCCGCCCCCCGCCCGCCAACCGCGCCGCATTCCAACGCCACGCCCACCTGGGCGTATAAAAGGAACGGGAACTACAACTCCCAGGAGGCACCAGGACAGCCCTCTGTGGCCTGTAGGGCTGTGCCCCCGCGATGCCTGCCGGGAGTCGTAGTCCCCAGGCCCTTGGACCCGGGACAGGCGGTACCTGTATCAGGAGGCGGAGCAGCTGCTCCTTGGAGAACGGGATGAACCGCTCGCGGTACTGCTGGGCCCAGTCGCGGGGCTCCGTGGGGTTCCACATCTTGCGGTACTCCCCCATCTTGGCCGCCAGAGACGACAAGGCCCGGGGGGGCCCGAGAAGCGTGGGCAATAGGGACCATACTCGGACCCTGGATCCCCAGACCCCCCGGATCATGAACAGCATAGCCAGACCCTTTCCCTGGAGCCTAAACGAGGGAAATGAGCAGGGGTCAAAGGTCATCTAGAGGAAAAGCACCGTCTCCACCTCCAGGGGCCGTCCCAACTCCAGGCAGGGCGCAGAGCCCATCTGCCCGTCTTGTAGCCCATATTGCCTGTGCCCTCCCACACTGCTCATTTGGCCTGCGCCCCAGACAGGGGTCAGAGATTTTTGAGTCCTGGGGCGTTTTTCGGGCCCAGAGGCCCTTTAGCTGAATAACGGGTTTCTGCTGGGTCTAAGCAACGGGTGGATCTTAGGAGCATAGGAGAGGCTCGGAAAGGCTACATAGGGGATGCAGGGCGGCCCTCCCCCGGCCATGCAATCCGCCCTCTCCCTCACCTTAGCCAACGCTCGACTGTCATTGAGCCTCCTGCGCATGTGTAGGAAGGTGTCCTGTGTCCCCAAGGTTCGGCTTCAGCCTGCAGTAGGACGCATGCGCAAAGCCTGGGTCATGGAACGCTGTCCATCTTTCCTCCGGCGCCTAGTCTCAAGTGCGCGTGCGCAATCTGCCATCCTTTCTTTATTTGAGCGCGGCGCATGCGTTGCGGAAGGGTCTCCTTGTCCGCGTGTTTCAAAGAGAAGGGGGCGGAGCGGGCGCGAGACTCCCGGGAGGACCGGGGCAGGGCAGAGCTCCCGCGCGCAGCCAGCCAACGGCGGGCGGCCCAACGTCCGCCGAGGCCCCGCCCCCGCTTGTGTCAGCTCCTGAGTAGGCGGGGAAATGGCGGGGACGGGGCTTGGCCGCAGCCAATCAGCTCTGGAGGAGCGAAAAGGCGGGAAAAGGCGGAACCAAAAGAAGGCGGAGGTGGCGCCAGAGACCAGGAGGGTAGGGTGGGCGGAAGGAAGAGCCGGCCTCCAGGTGACGCAGACCGGACCTCCAGAGTAGGGGTGGCCCTTTGTCAGGCAGGATCACCCCCCAGCCCCACCACCCCCATTCCAGGTCCTTAAAGGGAAGACTCCAATTCTAAAAAGGTAGCCTGGTGCCTAATTTTGACAGGACAGCTCAGTTCTGAGCCCGTGTCCCCCACACCTGTGAGGTCCGGCCCCCAGGCTTGCACTTCCGTGAAGATGGAGTTGAATTCTAAGGGGGAACCCTTATCCTAAGAAAATAAACCCAAGTCGTGAGGACAGCCTCAAATCCACCCTGACATGCTTGGGCTCTCCAGTATGGGTGCTGTCCCCCCAAAACATGGAAGGGATTCCTGTGGTTCGGACCTCACAGGGGACCTGATCTACAGTCTGGCACCCCCCTGGTCCCTGGAAAATCCTTCTCGGGTCTTCTTAGAGAACACAGTCCTCAGAATGAGCCCTCTGGCTTCTGTGTCAGGGACGTGACCCCAATATCCCAGCCCTCTCCCCACGCCTCCTCCCTGCCCTGGGATCCCCTCACCCTGCACCTGCACCTCTGGGCCCCAGGCAGCCCCCCTCACCCTACACTAGGGTTGCATTCCCGACCCCTCCAACCCCCATTCCTGGGACAACGCCCCAGCAACCCCTTTACACTGTACCCCCATCTCTGGAATTCTCAGAAGCTCCCTTACCCTGTCCCCCATTCACGGGGCCCTCGGCCACCCTCTCACCCTACACCCCCAACTTCTGGGTCCCCTACCAGCCCCTTCACCCTGTGCCCCAAATCCTCAGAACCCTGGTAGACCCCAGCCTTGAGACACCCCCCCCCAGCACCATCTACCCTATGCCCCTATTCCTGGGATGCCGGGCAGCTCCTTCCCCCCACGCCCGCAACTCTAACCTCCCACTGGCCATCTTATCTTGCAGCAGCCCAGCCCGGGGTGGTCCTGGACCCTCTGGAGGGCGGCGGCGTCCAGCAAGCAGCACCCAGCACCCCTGCCCCCGCCTCCCGGGGCCCCAGGAGCAGGGCGGCCGCCATGCACATCCCCGAAAGCCTCCAGGATCTGGCGAACAGTGAAGCCGTGCAGTTTCTCAAGAGGCCGAAGACAATCACCCGGATCTTTGCAGGGGTGAGGCCCTCCCGTGGGGACCCGACTGCCCCTCGGGTGACAGGACATAGTGTGGTAGAGGCAGGGGTGGGGGGGAAGGAAGCAGCCAGATGGGGACAGCAGAGCAAAAGGCAGCTAGTAACTAGTCACCCAGCCACAGGCCCTGTGCTGCCCTGACCACTTAGTAATTCTCACGGGGACGAACCACTCGCCCCGGGTCCGAGCGACGAGCCCCGTTTGTGAGATGAGGAAACAGCATCAGGGAAAGCGAAGTCGCGGGTCACAGGCTGCACTGTCCAATGCGGCGGCCACAAGCCACATACGGCTTTTGCAGTGTAAGCTCAATAAACGACAAGATTCCAGTCCTCAGTCACGTCGGCCACTTTTCGGATGCCCACCAGCCACGCGCGGCTCTTATAGTGGGTGGTGCAGATCTAGAGCATTTCGGCCATGGTGGAAGCTTCCATTGGACAGCGTTGGCCGAGGACATGAGGGAAGAGGCAGGGCCGGGATTCAAACTGGGGGTCTGTGACAGGCCAGGGCCCGTTCATTTCCTAGCTTGCGGACAAGGGGCCAGGAGAGGCGCAGGGCTGGGAATAAAGAGGGGTGTGGTGGCGGGGGAGGAAAGTTGGTCACATGCACCTAAGATACCAGGCATTGGGGGAGGGGGTCACTGTGTGCCAGGCTTTCTGCCAAGCAAGGGCTTTACAGGCGTGTGTTTGCTCATTACCACGTTCCCAGAGTCGAAGCAACTGGACTCACATCCTCATTCAACCCAGACTTGGCTGTGTGACCTTGAGCCAAGCACCCAGCCTCTCTGGGCCTTCTCTGCTCCCCTTCGACAGCGATGGAAACGGAGGCGCAGGGAGGGAATGAGACTTGACTGGGGTGGTGGGAGTAGGTGGGGTGCCCTGGATTGAATCCAGAGCGTCTCCTCCCTACCCTTTCTGGAACCTGTGGACAGAGAGAGGATCAGAAAGGGCCTGGCTCAGAATCCGCGCTGTCCGCATGGGGCCGCACACTCCCCACTCTGCCTGGGCCGGTCCTGCTTCAGTTAGCAGGAGCTCCAGCTTTCATTTCAAAAGCGCCCCCGTTTTGTCGGGGACCTGACCCGGTCACCCTAGGTCTGTGTGACCTTGAGAAGGTGGCTTGACCTCCCTGAACCTCTATACCCTCGTGTGTAAGAAAAAAACCCTCATACTCTGGGAAGGATCGTGTGGAAATGAAACCAATTTATGCCCCTAAACTGATAAGCAATAATCACTCCTTTTTTTTAAGTGTATTTATTTATTTTCAGAGAGAGAGAGAGAGCAAGCAGGGGAGGAGCAGAGAGAGAGGGAAAAAGAGAATCCCAGCGGGGTGTGGGGATCAAACTCAGGGACCAGAGATCATGCCCTGGGCCAAAAACCGAGCCCCCAGGCGCCCCAATAATCACCCCTCAAATAGTAATTCTTTTTATGACAGGCCTTTGCTGTGAGCCAGGAGATGGCTTTGGGGGACCCAGGGTGACAGGGACGTGTGGGCCTTGGCGTTCTCATCCAGGGGAATTACGAATCCCGCATTCTGAGTCCCTCCCTGGTGCTAGCTCTTGTCACCGTGAGGAGGTACAGCTAGGACGCGGGGCATCACTACCCCTGTTTGACCCAGGGGGAAACTGAGGCTCACGGGTGTTGAGTGACTTGCCCAAGGACGTCACCAGCTGGCGAGCGAGTCAAAAGGATCCTCGCGCCTCCCCAGCTCCGGAAGGAAAAGTGGGTGGCGAGGTAGAAGGAGGCCCAGCTGGTGTGGTCTGGGGTGGGGGAGGGGGAGGGAAGGGCCGCCAACTGCGCCAGACGTTTTGGTCACGGACTTTGCCCGCCGCCTCCCTCCTCCTTCCCCCCTGGCCTGGCTCCCCAGTAGGGAGTCTCTGGGCAGCTGGTGCCCTTGACCTCACCGCCGCCTGCCAGCTGGTGCCTTAACTGATGAATCTTTGCTCCTTTCCTGGGGACGGGCCAAGGAGGGTGTGGAAGGAGGTCGGATTCTGGCTTCAGGGGGCTGGGGTCCCTTCTGCCCAGCTGGGCGCCCCCCTTCCCTGAGTCTCCAGTGCCCGGGGCGTGCGCCACAGCCCAAGGTTTCCGGGGTCACTGGGCAAAGAGCCCACAGGCCCAGAAGTCAGGATTCCAGTCCCCAGTCCTTCACTGACTGACCTTGAGAGGAGGGTTCGCCTCTCCGGTCATGAGGACTGCCATCAGGCCTCGGCCCCCACCCCCTCTTCACAGCACAGGGACAGACTGGGAAACTGAGGCTCCAAGGGGTGCGTGACTTGCCCAAGGCCGCACGGCTGGTGAAGTCAGAGGCGCCTGGCTCTCTCCACTCCGCCGTAACGGCTTCCATTAATCACCTGTGAAGCAGCAGCGACTTGGTAACATCTACCGCGTGGGGCTGGTGCGAGGGAGGCAGCGGCGGTAACGTGGACACAGGCTCGTGATCGATGGTCCGTCCGGCCCTGGACCTGGCTGTGTCCCCGAGCAGCAGGGCGAGAGGCTCCCCCTCCGTGGACTCCTGGCCCCGAAACAGGGAACAGATGTGGACAGCCTTGGGTAGCGCTCTAGTGCCGACCAGAAGCAGCACTGGCTGTTATTGTGATCGTGATTTTTTTTAATGCTTATTTATTTTTGAGAGAGAAGAGAGAGAGCACGAGCAGGGAGGGGGACAGAGGATCCGGAGCGAGGTTCCACGCCGACAGCCGAGAGCCCGACGCAGGGCTCGAACTCACGAACCGTGAGATCATGACCTGAGCCAAAGTTGGACGCTGAACCAACCGAGCTCCCCAGGGGGGCCCCTGTTGTCAAGATTTTCTTCAGAGAAGGCAATTAAGGGAAAGGATAAAGGAGGAGGAACAGAAGCTGAGGAGTTTAGGGGCACCCCCCATCGTTTGCCTCCTCCATTCCCGCCTGAAGGGCAGTGCAGGAGCGAAGAAGGGTCCAGAGTGACTTTCAGCATGCGTTGGCTGAAGTCCAGACTGGCGCTGGGGATAGAGAGGAGGGTCTCACAGCAAGCCTGTCCGGGAGGAATTCAAATTCTAGTGAATTCCTTCCCCATGCCTGCTCCCTCCCCCGGCTCCGGTCCCCAACACTACTGAGTCCAATCAATCACCACGTCCAGATTTCCGTCCTAAATATCTCTGGATTCCCCAGAGCTCTGACCTCAGCTCAGGCCCCAGCATTTCTGCCTGGGCCTCCCCACCAATCTCCTCTCTGGTCTCTCAGCCGCTCCTCTCGCCCCCTCCAATCCATTGCGACCCTGGAGATTTTCTCTGACCCCCAGGGCCAAGTCTAACCCTGGCCACCCTCTGCTCAGAACACTTCCGTGCATGAAGCTAAATCCGAGTAAGATGTACATTTCACTCCCCACGGGCTCCCAGCTCAAGGCCCCTCTGTCTGGTGTTCAAGGTGCCTCGGGGTCGGGCCCCTGCCCACTTTGCCAGGCTCCTCTCCTGCTAGATCCCTGCAATGAGACTTCTCTCCAGCCCTGGAAGAGCCTATTCTGCACCATCTGGCCTCTGCACACAGTCTCACCCCTGGCACGCCCCTCCCGCCCGGTCTGCCTGAAAAACTTCTCATTCTTTACCGTGCAGTTCACACCTCTCCTTATTTCTTCCTAAATCCAACCCCACAACCTTGACTCTCTCCCAGACCCCAGCCTCCTCCCTAGCCTCCCGACCTCCAGTCTCACCCCCACCCCCAGCCTGTCTCTACATAGGCCCCAGATCTGCCCCACCCTCCTCTGCTCGCAGCTCTGCTGTGGCTCCCTATTGCCCCCCAGACAATGTCCTCATTTGTCAGCCTTCCTCACCCAGCGACACTCCGCAGAGCCGTCACCTCATCCGCAAAGCCCCCCCGGAACAACTCCCCACCACCCACCCCATACACACACCCATTCCTTCTATGTGCGTCTGGGGCAAATCAATGTCCGGATGGACTGATCTGGGAACCTCGCCCTCAAGGCGTCCGGGTCAGCGTGAGGTGGTACAGCAGGGCCTTAAAGCAGGTTCGCGAACAAGGCGACCTTGGTTCAAATCCAGGCACCGCCACTTCCCAGCTTGTTGGCTCTGGGCAACTCCCCAGCCTCTCTGGGCCTTGGTTCCATTGTGGAAAGAAGTGGGGGTATTAGTAGTACCCACATCCTAGCTCGGCTGTGTGGCTGACTCTGGCTCGCTCACTCTCGCTCTCCCTCGATCACTCCCTGGCTCGCTGGTGGAGTACTTGAGCGGCATTTAATAAATAAACACTGTAGTACTCCCGTGTGCTGTCTGCAGCTTGCACAGAGAGGAAGCTACTGTGTCGTGAGGTTCTGTCTGCTTTTTCAAAAAGTCCTGGAGCAAAAAACGAAGGGGTGGGGGGAGAAGAGAAAACTGGTAACGTTTGTTAGGGACTGAATGCTTGTCACGTTTCCCTCTGTACCTTTTTGTGTTTTTGGAATATTTCACAAATTTATTTATTTTTAAAATCTTTTTTAATGTTTTTTATTTATTTCTGAGAGAGAGACAGCGTGAGCAGGGGAGGGTCAGAGAGAGAGGGAGACACAGAATCTGAAACAGGCTCCAGGCTCTGAGCACAGAGCCCGACGCGGGGCTCGAACCCACAAACCGTGAGATCATGACCTGAGCCGAAGTCGGACGCCTAACCGACTGAGTCACCCAGGCGCCCCACAAATTTATTTTTAAAAAATTAGTAGGAACTAGGCAAGCAGGGAGGGAAGAGGAAGAACGGGCAGAGGAGAGGGGTGGAGGCAGAGAGAATGATGTGACAGCAAATGCCAAAGATCGGCACGTGTCCCTAGCACCACACCAGGCATTTTGTATGGGCCCCTGGGTTTGGTAACAGGTACCCGTTGGTGGGAAGCAGAGGGGAGCGTGTGCGAGGCAGGGGCAAGTGGGGAGAGGTGAACTTGGAAGAGCGAGAGAGCAATTACAGACTGGGCAGGAGGGTGGGGCGTGAAAGGACCTGGGGGGGTGCTGGGGGGGGGGACTGAGGGAGGAGGCCGTGGGGGGAGGGCCAAGGGGGAGGGAACGAGGGGCCGCAGGAGGGACAGGCCCCGCTCAGGGACAGGGAGAGAAGGGGTGGGGACCTGGGAGGGCTCCGCTCAGTGCCTGGAAACCCCTCCCCGCAGGTCTTCTCCCTCATCGTCTTCTCCTCCCTGCTGACCGACGGCTACCAGAACAAGACAGAGTCTTCGAGGCTGCACTGCGTGTTCAACAGCAACAGCGTGGCCTGCAGCTTCGCCGTGGGGGCCGGCCTGCTGGCCTTCGTCACCTGCCTGGCCTTCCTGGCCCTCGACACCCACGAAAGCCGCCTGGGCAGCCCCCGCTTCAAGACGGCCTTCCAGCTCCTGGACTGCATCGTGGCTGGTGAGCACCCCCCCCATCCCTCGGCCGGCCAGAGCCTCCCCCCCACACCGCCGCCCCCACACGTGCCCGCAGTCTCGCCCCTCCCTTCTAGAAGCTCTTCTGCACCTGCAGTGTCCCCCCCTCCAGGGAATTATTACTCATCCTTTAGACTCAGCGTGAGGGTCACCTCTTCCGACCCCCAGGCTAATTCTAGAAGCCTCCCTTCTGCCCTGCTTTTTCCTGGCATTCACCTCCCTTCTTCACAGAACGTTTCTTGAAAAGCCACCCGGTGGCGGGAGGTGGGGTTCCGGGCCGAGCCGGGCAAACTGGAGTTTGAAATCTCCACTCGGGCACCTCGTCGCCCCGGGGACTCAGCAGCTCTCTTCCTCTCTCTGGGCTTCAGTAAAGCTGGGATGAAAACCCCCACAAGGCAGCGCTTTCCTGGGGACGCGGGAGAGGAAGGAGGCCGGTAGCAGTGGGGACCTTTTCTGGACACTTCCCACGTGTCGGGCACAGAGCCAAGGGCTCACGTGCCTTGTCTCATCTGTCCCTCAGGACCACCTGAGGTGGGAAGTCGTGTTTTGTTTTTTTTTTTGCAGAGGAGGAAACTGAGGCACGGGGAGATTACATAATTGGGCACACAGCTGCTAAGTGGCAGTTCCAGGCTTCAGAGTGAAGTCTCGCGGGGCGCCTGGGTGGCTTAGTCAGTTAAGCGTCCGACTTTTGCGTAGGTCATGATCTCGCGGTTCATGGGTTCGAGCCCCGCGTCGGGCTCTGTGCTGACTGCCAGCCCAGAGCCTGGAGCCTGTTTCAGTCTGTGACTCCCTCTCTCTGACCCTCCTCTGCTCACGCTGTCTCTCTCTCTCTCTCCTAGAAATAAAAAAATAAAATTTAAAAATAAAAAGTGAAGTCTCGCATCCCAACCACTGCTGGGTACCCTAGATGGGGGCTGGCATACAGTAAGCGCTAAATAAATGAGCTCCTTTACCTCAGGCCCTGGGGTTTCATCCCCTCAGTCTGATCTCAACTGTCTCCTCCTCCTCCTCCCCTCCCCTCCCTCCCACCCCTTTCTCCCCTCCCCCTCTCCCTTCCCCTCCTCTTCCTCCTCTCCCTCCTGTCTCTCCATGTCCTCCTTCCCCTCCTCCCCTCCCCCTCCTCCCCTCCCCCTCTCCCTTCCCCTCCTCTCCCTCCTCTCCCTCCTGTCTCTCCATGTCCTCCTCCCCCTCCTCCCCCTCCTCTTCCCCTCCTCCTCCCCCTCCTCCTCCTTCTCTCCCTCCTCCTGCTACTACTCCTCCTCCTCTGCACCAGGATGGGCTCCAGCGTTTCAGGGCTGGGAGGCCCCTCAAAAGTCAGAGTCCAGGGCCCTCCCAGAGGACTCTGTGCGAGGACAGGAAGGTTCCCCACCTGCGCCCCCCACTACGGAGCCCCGGCCCCACGTGGCCCCTGAGCACCTGAAGCGGGGCCGGGGCTACAGAGGGGGCATTGCTACCCCCGCTTCACCTGACCGCCTGCGAGCAGCCAGGGCGGTGGGCGACGCGGCTCCCGCAGGGGCGGCCCACTGCCCGCAGCCCGCGCCCTTCCTGAGCCGCCCCCCCCGCCCCCGCCTCTCTTCTCTCCCGCGGCCCCCAGTCCTGTGGACGGGCGTCTGGTTCGTGGGCTTCTGCTTCCTGGCCAACCAGTGGCAGCATTCGCCACCCGACGGGTTCCTCCTGGGGATCAGCAGCGCCAAGGCCGCCCTCACCTTCACCTTCTTCTCCGTGCTCGGCTGGGTGAGTGAGGGTGGGCCCCCTCCTCGGGGCGGGCCTGGGGGGGGCGAGTGGGGGAGGGCGCCTCCCAGGGCCTCTGCCAGCCCCTTCTGTGACCGGGCGGCCTGGAAAGGAGGCGCCCTCACCCCGAGCGGGTGTCCCCGCGAGGCCCCGCCTGGCCCCGCCCCCCGCTGCCCTGCCTAGCCCGCGCCAGCCTCCCGCGTGCCCCTCTCTGCCCGCAGATGCTCCAGGCCTACCTGGCGCTCCAGGACCTCCGGAATGACTCCCCGGTCCCTTACAAGCGCTCCCTGGATGAAGGTGGGGTGGTGCTGACTGCCCTGCCCCCGCCCTCTGCCGTCGGCCCCGTCCACACGCCCGCCGCAGACCCCAACAGCCTGAGCTGCGGCACCTCCGCCCTCTCCCCCTACCTGAGCACGCCCAAGGCCCCCGCCTCGCCATGATGCCGGACAACTGAACACCCTCACCCACGTCAGTAAAGAGACGGGCCTCCCTCCAGGCCTTCTGAAAACAGCCCTGTCCCTCTCGCGTCTGTTCCTCTCTGGTCTTTGGCGTGGCCAGTGGGGTGGAGGGAGTCCTACAGGGTCGCCTCGGGAGCCTCTGCGGCCGCCACCTTCCCACACTACCTCCCTGACTCTCCCTCTGGGCACCGCCATGACAGCAGCAGATTATAGACCTGGGGACAAGAAGGGGACATTCCTTTCGGGCCCTTCGGCCCTTGCACTGGCCATAGGAAGGAGGCACCAGGCGCCCCGACGCAGGGTCGAGCAAGCTCCTGTTTGGAGACAGAAAGCCCTTCTGCCCATGGAGGGACCACCGAGAAGCACCAGGGCGGGCACTGGGATCCACCCCTCCACTCACCCCAGGGACAAGGGCCCCAACTCCAAGCCAAGGAACTGGGGACGGTGAGTCCGTGAGTGAGAGCAAGGGCGATCCTTGTCTGCAAACATTTGCGGGACCGCCTCGGGGAAGAGGAAGAGATTTTATTCTAGAACCCAGAAGGCAGCCAGGGATTCGTGCACGAGCCGGGCAGGTGGCCCCTGTGGGCGAAGAGCCCAGTAAGAGACTGCTGGGGACAGGGGCCAGGGGCCAGGGGCCGCGTCTTAGAGCGGCCACCTCTACTCAGCACCCGGCATTCAGCGCCGTGGGCCTGGGGTGTCCAGTTAAAATGTGATGCTAGCCACCAGGGCTAGAATTTTATTTCATTTATTTTTATATTTATTTATTTTTGAGAGAGACAGAGTATGAGCTGGGGGAGGGGCAGAGAGAGAGAGGGGGAGACAGAATCCTAAGCAGGCTCCAGGCTCAGCTGTCAGCACAGAGCCTGACACGGGGCTCGAACTCACAAACCATGAGCCGAAGTCCGGCGCTCAACCCACTAAGCCACCCAGGCGCCCCCTGGGGGCTATAATTTTAGACTGTTTTAATGGCCACATTAAGAAAAGTCGGCTGAAAGCAGTGAACTTAATTTTCATGTGTCTTGTTTAACCCAATATACACAAAAGACTGTCACTGATTTCAACACGTCACCAGTACAAACACGAGGCCGATTACATCCTTCCCCGTGAAACTGCCGCTGTTGGCAGATGGCTCGTCTTCATCTGGACCCACCGCATCTCAACGGCTGATGGCTGCATCGACCGAATGGCTACCGTATTGGACAGCGAAGCTCCAGAACCTTCTGGCGTTTCTAGAACCATCAGAAATCCGTTTCTTTTTGTGTGGAGAGAGTTCACAGCGAATAGCAAACAAACAAAAAAAGTTAATGTTCTGCAGGCCAAACAAACACACCCACACAAGCGCCACCCTGACCTGCAGAACATTCATTTACAAACCGGAAAAAGGGATGCTGGTCATGGGGGGGGCCACACGCGGGTTGTACGGTCCCTTTTTTTTTTTTTTTTTTTGAGGTTTCTGTGTGGCAGACCCCATGCTCGGTCCTGTGAAGCCACAGAGCTAAGCCGGACGTGGTCCCTGTGGGGATTCGGGGAGAAGGCCGCCGGGGCCACTGCTGTTCTGATGTTGGACACAGGGATCCCGCACGCCGGTCCCCACTCTGTCGCTCGCTGGACAAGCTGGGATGTGGCGCTTGATGGCTCCCGGCCGAGCTGTCTTGGCTGGTGCACCAGAGACTGGGACCAGACTTACATCAATGGCGCTCAGACCACATACGGACCAGCCCAAGCAGCCCTGTTCCCGCATTTTCCAGATCAGGCCTCTGGGCAAAATTCCTCTCCACAGAGGGTCCCCCTTGGCCGATGAATAACAAGAGCAGTTGGAGAACCGCACAGCAGTGACTAAGCACGCAGACTCAGTTGTTGGGGAGCCCAGCTACAGACCCCCTTTGCCATCTGCCCCATAAGCCTTGGGCTCCTCCCCCACGAGGTACCCCAACCCCTGCAGGGCTGCCATGAGGGTCCAACGGACCCCTGCCTGGCGCTTACACTTGGGAAATGCCACCTCCCCACCTCCTGAAGCTTCCAGAACCAGCCCACAGAGCCAAATTCGCCTCAGGAAGGGCTCGGCGGACATCTAGGAGAGTCTCACTGAATCAGGGGACAAAACTCCAAGAGCTCATGAGGTCCAGCAGGTGACGCAGGCGAAGGACACGGGCCAGGGTTGAAGCCAGTCTGGAGGGAGACGTGGAGAATATTTTGCTTTTCTTTTAACTCCACGCAACCAAACCAAACCGACAGACAAAAGAACCCAGACAACGTCGGGCTGGATAATAAATGGTGGCGACCCCTCAGCCAAGTCCCGGGGACGGCGGTGGAAGGCTCACAGCCCGTCCATTCAGCTCCTGTCTTCTGTGACCGCCCGGAAGCGAGGACCCAGCACTGTCGGACTGAGATTTGTTTTCGAGAGGAGCCAGCAATCCAGATTTCAGTGTGAAAATCTGATTTTGAAAAGCTGGCAACAGACTCTCTGCTTTCTTTCTTTCCTTCTTCCTTCCTTCCTTTCTCTTTCCTTCTTTCTCTTTCTTTCCTTCTTTCTTTTCTTTCTTCCCTCCCTTCCTTTCTTTAAAAACAAATAGAGCGGCTCAACAAAATGCCAAACAGCGGTAAGACAGGGCCCACCAATCAGTGACCTCTAAAACACACGCTCTCGAAGGTCTTCTACGACCCTGGGATTTGGGAAAGGCGCCAGCTAAGTTCTGTGCCAAGATAAAGAGAATCTTCAAGATTTTTTTTTTTTGTCTTTTTCCGAAACCTCTTCCCCAGCACAGCCGTGAGGCCTGAGGACACAGCTCAGCGTCCCGGGGAACCCAGTGTCTCGCCTCCCTGCCCCTCCTGGGCCTCGGTCACCTCCAGGCTGTCGATGGGATAAGGCAGAAGCGGAGACGGGGGCCGGGAGGGGCCCCCACAAACACCAGAGAGATGGCAAGCAGTAGCGAAAGAGGCATCATTTTCCTCGGTTTATTTCAAGAGAACAAAGAATCAACCATCACTTCTGTACAAAAACACGGGCGGCCGAGCCACAGGGACCCTCGGGCCAGCCCCCTTGCCACGCCCAGCCCCTCGCCCCCTACGTTGTCAAAAAAATGAGGACAACACCAAAAACCCCAAACTCTGGAAAAACAAAACTATTGAAAAATCAGGGAGTCCGTCCCTCCCCTCCTCCCTCTCCCCGTTCCAGAACTTTGGGGGGCGCTGCGTTCGTGGCCGCGGGGGGAGGTCAGGAGGGTGGGTGCCTGCAGTTTAGTGTTTGGCAACTGGCGGGGCTGGCGGGGCAGGATCTGGAAGCTTGCCGAGGGGCTTGCGGGAGGGAAGAGATCTCGGTCCCCACCCCGCCCCATGGGACACTCGAAAACAGTTTATAAAAATCGGGTGGGCCAGAGAGTAGAAGAGAAAAGGAGTCTTCGGAATCAAAAACTAAATAGTGGAAAGATTTTTTTTTTCTTCTCTAAAAGGCAAAAAACTACAAACAGCCCAGGTCCTGAGTTCCCCAAGACTTGGGTTCTCCGCTGTCCCCCCTGAAACCCGGCAGGAGGGGGGCTGGGGAGCGCGGAGAGATTGGTTCTTTTAAAAAGTCACCCCTGGACGGGACGGGAAGGCTCCTGTCTTCTCGCTGCCTTCCTCTGCCTCTCGCGGGCTGCCGAGGAGAGGGACGGCCGGGCCCAGGGTTACGCCGGCAAACTCAGCTTCTTCCCCTTCAGGACTGCGAGGAGACAGAGCGGAGGGCGCATTACCCAGGGGCCCTGCGGAGGGGACGGTCCCCCTACCCACTGGGACCCTGGGCTGGCGGGACTTCCTTCCTCTCGGGTGGTGGAGGGCGGATCTCGGAAGGATGGGGTCCAATTGTCTGGCGGGCCGGCCACGTGCCCCACCCCCACCCTCCCAGCCTTAACCCAGAGGCCTCCGCGCCTCTGCCCTTCCCCTCCCCTCCTTCCTTCACGCTGACCGACTCCTCATTTCTCGGGTCTCTGTCTTCATCGTCGTCTCCTCGGACCACCCCCAACGGAAAGCAGCCCCCGTTGTTCCCTAACACATCCCCAGCCCCTTGCTCTCTCGGCTCTTCTCCCTGTTGGCAACCATCTCTCTCTCCTTGTTCACGCACCATCACACACACACCCCGCACCCCGGAACACAGGGGTCGGGCAGGGCCACCTCCCTTCTGCTGCACCCCCAGAGCCCGGCCCTGGCCAGGGACCCAGAAAGTGCTCAACGCATTTGTTGGCTGGTTGAATGAATGAATCAGAATGAATGAGTGAACGAATGAATCTTGGTGGGCCTGAGTCCCTAAGGGTGATGAGAGGCCTGTGCGGCCTTGGTCCTGTCCTAGCAGGGCTGTGAGCCTGGGGAGGGGGATGGCGGCGAGGGGGAGGGGGTATGCCCTTCCCACCCCTGAGTGACACAGGGCGGGGGAGGCGGAGCCTGGGGCCCCAGGGGAAGGGCTGGAGCGGGAG